GAAGAACCTGCTTGCATGTCGTATGACGACAGGGCAATCGGTTAGCACTCATGTTCTTAAGATGAAGGGTCATCTTGAAGAACTTGAGCGTTATGGCTTGAGGATCGACAGGGAGTTGGCTGCTGACCTTGTGCTCCAGTCTCTTCCAGACTGCTATGATCAGTTCATTATGAGCTATCATATGCATGGCATGGATAAGACCTTGACCGAACTGTATGGGATGCTGAAAACGGCCGAGACGAGCCTTATGGTCGAAAAGAACGTGCTCGTTATTTCGAAGAGTTCGAAAAAGCGGAAACGTTGCAAGGGAAAGGGAAAAGGCAAGGCAAGCGGGGCAAATGTTGCCAACAAGACCAAGCCTAAACCCGAGAAAGGAGAGTGTCATTTCTGCCATGAAATTGGTCATTGGAAAAGAAATTGCAAACTCTTCTTGGAAGATCTGAAGAAGAAGAAGCTTGCTGAAGCTTCTACTTCAGGTATTTACGTTATCGAAGCTAACGTATTTACTTCTTCATCCTGGGTATTGGATACCGGATGTGCCTCACACATTTGTGGAAATGTGCAGGGTCTCAGAAGAAGTAGGACGTTGGCTCGAGGTGATGTGGATCTACGCGTCGGGAATGGAGCAAATGTTGCTGCATTGGCTGTCGGCGTTTATGATTTATCTTTACTGTCTGGACTGGTTATAGAACTAAGTAATTGTTACTTTGTGCCTGCTATAAGCAGAAACATCATTTTTATTTCCTGTTTGGATTTGGATGGTTTCCGGTATGTTATTAAGAATAAGAACCTTATGATGTTCAAACACGATATCTATTATGGTAATGGTTACCTTGTGAATGGATTGTATGTCTTGAACGATCAACCTTCCGATTCCATGTCCGTATATAACGTAAATGCGAAGAGGTTTAAGCCGAACAACTTAAATCCGACCTATCTCTGGCATTGCCGTTTGGGCCACATCAACGAGAAATGCATACAGAAACTCCTCTCCGAAGGATTTCTGGATTCTTTCGATTCTGAATCGATTGAAGCGTGCGAATCTTGTCTGATGGGTAAAATAGCAAAGTCTCCTTTTAGTGGAAAAGGAGAACGGGCGTTGGAGTTATTGGACCTAATATGTAGTGATGTATGTGGGTCCATGAGCTTACCCGCTAGAGGAGGTTATTTGTATTTCGTCACATTTACTGATGATTTCAGTAGATTTGGTTATGTCTATTTGATGAGATATAAATCTGAAACGCTTGCAATTTTCAAGGCTTTCAGAAACGAAGTACAAAACCAGCTCTGCAAGACTATTAAGTCGTTGCAATCGGATCGCGGTGGCGAATATATGAGCCAAGAGTTCATTGACTATCTGGTAGACTGTGGAATTGTTTCACAATTGACCCCTCTTGGAACGCCACAGTGGAATTGCGTGTCTGAACGGAGGAACCGCACCTTATTAGATATGGTCGGTCTATGATGAGTCAGGCTGATCTTCCAAAGTCTTTCTGGGGTTACGCCTTAGAGACTGTTGCTTTCATACTGAACAGGAGTCCAACGAAAACGGTTCAGAAGACTCCATATGAGATATGGACTGGGAAGCGTCCCAGTTTGTCTTTCTTGAAGATTTAGGGATGTGACGTTTACGTGGAACGTCATGCTTCTGATAAGCTATCCGCCAAATCGGACAAGTGTTTGTTTGTAGGATACCCTAAGGAAACTAAAGGGTACTACTTCTACAACCCGGTAGTTAATAAAGTGTTTATTGCTCGGAACGGAAAATTCCTGGAAAGAGAGTTCGTCTCAAAGGGAATCAGTGGGAGTGGAGTAGATCTCGAAGAAATTCGAGAACTACAGACAGACGCTGGACCGAGTGAGCAAGTTGAAGATGTTCAACCCACATCACAGGGACTTGAGACTCCGCCTGATACTTGTGAACCTCGGAGATCAGGGAGAGTTCGCCTAGAGCCTACGAGATATGGATTTCTCGTGACTGGTAATGATGAACTCATGTTATTGGAACATGATGAGCCTACATCATATCCAGAGGCTATGGCGAGTTCCGACTCTGAGAAATGGCACGAGGCTATGAAGTCTGAGATGCAATCCATGTACGACAAAAAGTATGGACTTTGGTCGATGCATTCGAAGGGGTAAAACCCATCGGATGTAAGTGGGTTTTCAAGAAGAAAACCGACATGGATGGCAACGTGCATACCCATAAGGCGCCATTGGTGGCGAAAGGGTTTCGGCAAATTCATGGTATTGACTATGATGAAACCTTCTCGCCCGTCGTGATGCTTAAATCCATTAGGATTCTGCTTGCCATAGCTGCATATTATGACTATGAGATATGACAAATGGATGTCAATTTTGGGTTGGCTCCGGATCATATCTTTTCCTCAGAAATTGCTCATTTTCGCCCAAAGCTCCAATTTTCCTGCAAAATATCAAAAACATCGAAGTCGGAGTAAATTGTACAAGGGATATCTACAAATATGTGAAATACCGTGAAATGCGCTAGATATCCGATGTGAAAATATGCCAATATATATATGTCATCAAGAGTCAAAGAGAGGACTCTTGCCGATGTGTCATGGTGTTGTTCTCAGCAAGACTCAGTGTCCTAAGACACGTGATGAGCGAGAACGAATGGATAGGATCCCATATGCCTCGGCAATAGGATCTATCATGTATGCCATGTTATGTACTAGGCCGGATGTATCGTACGCGTTAAGCATTACGAGCAGATACCAGTCGGATCCAGGAGAGTCACACTGGATCGCGGTCAAGAATATCCTTAAGTACTTGAGAAGGACTAAGGATTTATTCTTGATATATGGTGGATTGGAAGACGAGCTTGCTGTAAAGGGTTACACCGATGCTAGTTTCCAATTGGACCAAGATGACTACAGATCGCAATCAGGCTATGTCTTCTGCTTAAATGGAGGCGCTATTAGTTGGAAGAGTTCCAAACAGGCCACCATAGCAGATTCTACTACAGAGGCTGAGTACATTGCCGCATCGGATGCTGCGAAGGAAGTTGTTTGGATCAGGAAGTTTTTGGGTGACCTGGGCGTCGTTCCTAGCGTTGTGAACCCCAATGCGTTATACTGTGATAACAATGGGAAGATAGCACAAGCCAAGGAACCTATGTCACACCAACGATCCAAACACATACTCAGACGGTTTCACCTCATAAGGGAAATCGTAGACAGAGGCGATGTGCATATATGCAAGATATCGACGAATGACAACATAGTCGATCCCTTGACGAAGCCTCTCCCTTCGTCAAAGCATGAGGGTCATGTTCGGGGAATGGAACTTAGATGCATTGTAGATCATAATTAGAACAAGTGGGAGACTGATGGATGTGATGCTCTAGGATGATCATACGATATGAGAACTATGTATGATACCATGTATTTATTGGATGAATGCATTATTTATTATTTATTTTGCATATTTGATAAATAATGATATCTATGAATCGTTAAGAACGATCCTAAATTCCTTAGTCGCTTGTCATTGTGGGAGCAATGATGAATTAAGACTAACATGAGGCGTGATGGATGATCATGATGATGACCATGTGTATTGGATACGTATCACGGTCATGAGTACTTGTTTGAAATAAGTGACTGGATGACTCGCGTGAGATTGTCGATAGGATTTAATCCATGACTTGAATCTCACTTGATGGTTCACTTTAGATCATCAGACCTGAGATATCTATTGTATCCATCATGAGGAGTAATGTACTTTGATTGCATCAAACGTCATCTTTAACCGGATGATTATAAAGGCGTGGCTCGGGTACATTACGAATCATGTAATGGATAGTAGATAGTCAAGATGGAATTTTGTCTCTCTCGAAAGAGAGAGATATCGCTTGGGCCCATCGTAGGAGTGAGACTGTAGAAATATGTGGCCGCACTATAGATGAATGTCATCCATCTCTTACAGTCTACTCGGGATACGACAAAGCATTCGAACTATGGGTTCGATTATGATATCATGAGACAAAGAGGATCATCGTTAGAACTATCTCTGGCTTTACGGTTAGATCACATCTAACTCTTTCCGATACAGGTAATCATAATGTCTTGCTAGAGACCGTTTATGATTTGTAAAGCGAGATTGGATCTCGTGTTTACTACCGTATTCGGAGGAGCCTAAAGGGAACTCTTGGTCAGCCTCGGACCAAGATACTGAAAAATTCGAACTTCGCGTTTTCTCTCCTTTTTCTTGTTGGGAAGCAGGTGGGGAACCTATCACTCGACCTAATCCCAACCCTTAGCCATACGAGAGGCTAGGGAACTCTGTAGAACTCTCTCTCAAGTTCAAGAGAGTGTTCTTGATCCATACACAAGAGATTTGATCTTTTCAAGCTCTAGCAAGCTAGTCTCGACAAAATAATCTTTTATTTCAGGTATTTATCTGGAATCGTTCGAATTACCGGAGTTCTACCGTCGTCAATAATCGCCGTTCCCAACAGTTTTATGCTTACCTCTTCTTTCCATCTCTTTTAGATCACTGTATACCAAGAACACATTTAATTTTTCGCAAGTACTTAAAAATATTCTTAATGACCATCCAATGTGGCTTTCGTGGATATTGTAGTTGATGCATAGGGAGTTCCGACCATCTGGTCTTGCTCAACTTGTTTATGTGGAAATTGAGAGACTCTTGTCAAGTCTCATCGGCAAAATTCTTTTTTTGGAACTCTCCATTCGGACCCGTTTTAGAATGGTGTCGATATACATACTCTTAACTCAAACCTATAAACCTTGGAGACATCCCAACAACTTACCGTTTTAAGGCAATTTTGGTAACTGATTTCAATTAACTGTAATTTTGAATAGACTGTTCTGTGCTTCCCCATATCCTCGTCACTTGTCACTCAAAACAGTACATTCCATCTGGTGTTATGCAAATACTTGGTACATTTCTCTATCTTTTTACAACATGAAATACATGTCTATTCATCCTCTCTGGTCCCACCAAAAGGCAGATTAGTTCATCGGTAAACTGAAAGAAAACTTATTCAATGTCCCAAATCTCACTACAAAGGCCTCGATGATACAGATACCACGAAATAAGCTATCGAGTTTCACCAAAATCTCCTAGGACGTCTAAAGGAATTGATTAGTGACCAAAATTTTCTCGAACATAAACTATGGTACAAATAACAACTACCAGAAAGGCATGACATTAGTTCAGAATCCTGTGTCTATTCTTTTTCTTTGCGAAGAATTATCGTTCGTTTGCTTGATCTTTGGTTCTGCTTTACCTTTCTGCCTTTTCTGTTGCTTTTTACCATTCTTATGCGGTCAGTCGTAGACACGGAAACGGTAGGACCCTTTTCCAGTCTCCACCATTCTGGAAAACGGAAGTCGGGCGTAACGCTGACGGGTTCGTTTCTGAGTTGACATCGGTATGGTTGGGTCTTGGCTGTATACTACGTCGCACGAGTTTGAGTGCTGCTTCCCTGAGTTGAACCCCGGAAATGGATCCGGGAGGGTTATTCCTGCAACAAAATGTGAAGTCGGAGAGATTAAAAAACGGTCACTTTAAATGAAAGCCCTCAAAGATTCTCGGAATCAAAATCTTTAACAAACTTTACCTTTTGCTTCGTACGACATCTTCGTGCCACGTGGCGGATTTAGATACCAAATCCGATGCATTCACCATCTGCAAGTAAATGGATTCAACACACTGATATTAATGAGTAACGAGACAAATCACCTTCACAGGACAGTTTTTGGTTCTAGTATGCTTGTATTATCATACACTCGCTACCCAACATATTCACATCATACTCAAGAATCTGGAATTGGTAGCAATGTGGACCCGAACTCAAAATGTTAACTACTAACACAAGCCGAAAAAGGCATCATAGTTATTTAGAATCTATTTTGCTCCCACTACTCTGGATGATAAAAAGATGGATGCATAAGCCTATCACAAAGCAACAAAAAGAACATATAACAAATGGCCCTCTTAATAAAATCAGTATTGGCAAAGTTAAGGGGCTCTACCTTTTCTGGGAACACCACTCCTGCTGGTGGGCGAGCAACGTGTTTGTGCTGGTCTGGAAGTTTGTATGTAGTACAACTGATGAAGAGTATAACCAAATGTAAGATTCCAAAAGCATATGCTCCAAGTCCACTCGAATGCAAAAATTAAAGCAAATTATAATTTCCACTATAATCCAAGATGTTCTATCGAAAAGCTTACATGACTTCATTGGCTAAAATATCCTTCATTCCCTTGATTGGGGAGCTGAAACTTGGCGACTGGCTTTCTCCAGAACATAGAGCTAAGTAACCATTCAGCCCGTCACTGCATTTATTCATCCCTAATTAGATCAGGAAAAACTCCCTAATATCTTCAACATCTTTTGTTTGCATTTGCTTAATTTTCAGGAATAACTGAGGAGCAATATGAAGCTCTAGATATGGAAAATCAAGTCAGCACAACACAGTTAACATATTTGTATTATATTATTCTCAAAATTCACACGCACACCTTAACTCAGGGTCAATCTTTTCCGTGATCTTACGCCGTCTTCTGCCTGCCAATGTTTTGCATCTGTTTTCCAGAGTACGTATCACCTCAGCCAGGGGATGAGATGCAGACATAAAGATCATGTCACAAATAAATCTGTTTCTCCTAATTTCTTCCTTCTGAAAAGACAATCGAAAGAAAACAAACTTCCATTGTGATTTTACAGAATAAAACTCCATAACGGAAGAAGCAATGCAGAAAAATGGATGCAACATACCGTCGATGTGTGCTCCAATTGTGCAATTGCATCAAGAAGACGATGCTCCTCAATAAAAGGCAACTTTGCAATACCCTTTTATAGTACAAAACAAATAGAACGCCATACAATATAACTACAGATAAGCTTGGTTGTAAAAAGCGCGAGGCGCACTGAAGCGGTAAAGGGTCTTAAAATCCGAGGCGTGAGGCGCGAGGCGAGGCGCGCGCCTCTCGTGCGAGAGGCGCATTATTAAATAATAGAATGCATAGTTAACAATAGAATTGTTATTTAATTATTTGAACCAACTATATGTTAATTCAACGTAATTAATTTATATTTATTATAATTAAATTATAATCTAAAATTTTGACTAATATGAATAAAAATTAAAATAATTTTAGGGTGATATATAAATATTATTTGTTTTGATAAAGAAATTAATAATTTATTTATAAAAATAAAATAATTTTCAATTATGGTTTTAACATATATATAAATTTAGTTCTGTATTATTATTAATTTTAATTTATAATTGATAATAAAATAATTAATTTTATTTAAAATCTTATATATAAATTAATTAAAAAATTGATATAATCTCACCTCGTGAGATGTCTGGCTAGACCTATTTTTTATTCACACACCCACGTGCCTATCATCCATCTCTCTCTCCCACTCACCCACTTTCCCTCGCTTCTGCTCTCTTCGTCTTCTACCTAAACCTAGTTTTTTTACATTAACCGCCTTACTACCAGAGGCGCACGCCTCCGCCTCCGGCCGATGCCCGCCGGAGGCGAGCCTCCAGCCGCCTCCTGCAAATCGCTTCTGAGGTTGCAAGAATGCTTGAGCAAATGCGAACCGTCCAGTAGCGGTACCACACCTCAGGTTAGAAGTGTTCTTTCCTGTAGGATCATAATTTAATGATCCATTTTCCATTGAACTTGAAAAGTCGTTACATGCCAAACCTTCATGAAAATTTTCTACAAATCTATGTATTTCCTTTCAGTCCTTTCATAGCATTACATTAATGAATACTTTCTGTCAGGTTGATCTAGCACATCTTGTGGCTGCTCGTGATCAGGAGTTCCGTACTCTTTCTGCTGAGGTAAAGCCAAGTCAACAAAATGAGTTATGCTTGCAGAAGTTGGGAAAGAGAGGATTATACATTTTTTTCGTTTTTATGCACATAACTTTATCACAATTCTGTGAAGTATAAGGAGGATACTCAGTTTATGTGATGTGATTGCAGATGGATCAACTCCATTCTGAGCTCACTCTCGCAAGATCACTGATTGCTGAGAGAGACAGAGAGATACAGCATGTTCGCCACACCAATAACCAGGTCTCTGTTCCTCTATTAACTTAAAACCGGCAAACATTATTTTACGCCAGGATCACTTCACCATGCATTAACTCTCCGTATGCATTGATGTTTACAAGATTGTTTCCCGTCCAACTTTAATCTTATAGTTAAATAGATTTACAAGCCTTTCTTCAATTAAGACGCTGAAAAAAAAAACTAAATCCAATTGCTTAGAGGAATAAATGGATATCTCTAACTCTGCATCTGTTTGATTGGTTCTTGAAACTCATTATTTTCTGTTTGATGCTGCTTGAGCAGTATGTTGCAGAGAACGAAAGGTTAAGAGCTATTCTCGGAGAATGGAGCATGCGAGCTGCAAAGGTAACTGTCTTTTCTTTCTATTTCAAGATTCAAGTTTCCCTTCTTTCTCCTTCCCCCTCAACCTCTTGGAAACATGAGAATTGACGTTTGATATAAAACTATACATATAATATTGATGGAATTCCTGAGATCTCATGAGCGAATCCTATTCCTAAGAGATCGATTCTAGGGTTTGCGCAGCGGATGTAAAACAAAAATTTAATGGCACAGCCAAGAAGGAGAAATTAGAGAAGTAAATTGCACAACTCCACAGAAAAGAGACCAATTGCACGAAAAAATTGTACCAGCGGGATAGAAATCCCTTATTGGTGAATTCGGGTCTGTCATCAGGGTCCTAAAGCATTCCGGGAGAGCATGTGCACTGGGAATGGAACACCGTGAGTAGAGCAGTAACAGTAGACAGTTTATGAAATTTTATAAGCAACGATGGTGAACCTTGCTGCCGGAAGAACACCCAGAAGTTGATTGAAAGGTTTAAAAGGGGAGCCCAGTTCGAACTTAATGTCCAGCTGATCAAGATCCTTGAGGTCGGATGCAAAAGGTGCATAATGGTATGGATAAAACCTTCAAAACAGAAACCCAGAACAACTAAGTGCAAGGTCTATGGAACAGACAAGGCAGAGGAAAGGATTGAAGGTTGAATTGGGGAATGTCATTATGTCTAGTTCAGTGAAGAATTCAGAAGGTTAAAACAACTCGAGCACAGTGCCACAGCAATTTCTTCAAGTACAAAATATAGATGTGGATGCCATGAAGATGCATAAAAGGTACACGGAAGGAAGCATAAATGAAACAAATTTTACAATTATAATTCACAACAGCAGAAAAGTGTTTAAATAAAATGAAGAATATTTGTCGAGGGCACCACAAGACATATACATACATATATAGCCGAAGGAACTGGCATCTTAGAAAAATAACAATAGAATTTCATAATTCTCCATATACAAGTAAGAAAAAAACAACGCAAATGGAACAAACTAAAAAATTATATAAAAGGATGCGGAGATACTAACCACTTCCAGGAACAAACACCTCCATAATAATAATGCATTACCCAACATAGGCCTTCAGTGTACTTAGCGACCTTGCAAATAGATTATCAAGACACTAAATAAGTCCATTCTGAAATACGAAAACCTCATAAAGAATAAAGATTCATCAAATTACAAAAATGAACAACTCACAACATCCCTACGTATTTTTTCCATTTCCTCAACAGTTTTTGCTGAGAACTTCTGCTCATAATATCTCTCCCTCCAGCCCGGTTCGCCCAGCCTTACCTGAAAAATAGAAATTATTAGAGCTTATAACATGATCCGTTCGAAACGAAAAATTCATGTGGGCGATCCAAAATAAAGTTGGGAGTAAGGCGATGGTGATGTTGATGTACTACATGATCCGTTCCCTGTTAGAATACTGAGGACAAGCCCTAGAAGAATGAGCATGTATAAGACCATAACATAGAACTACGATTATGTCACTGAAAATAATAAACTAACCATATCATTTTCTGCATTTCCTGAGCTGAAAGTATCAGTTTTATTTTGCAGTAACTTTTTAAGATTAAACTTCAATTCTTCTTCATTCTCCAGTTCCTGAAACCCATAACGTGGATTTTAGTGCATTAAAACAGGGAGCCAATCTACAGATGTCTAAGCTAGTAAAACATAAGTGTTATTTAAAGAAAACACACGTGAAATATGAGTCCCAAAAATACATGAAGGGGGCCAAATTTCGTTAAATACCTCCTTAGAAACATTACAAGCTTCTGTTTCGTGGTTAGTGTCTGTGTCAACACTACCCACATTGACATTATCCTCCAAAGCCAGACGACGAACTTTCTGGGGATGAGCAACATCTATATTCTCCTTGTATGCTGAAGGCTGCAGAGCAGAAGCAAGGCGAGAACCATGATACTTCCCGCTTGTTAGAGCATTGCCACGCATGATCCTTTGCGCTTGTCTCTGTAAAATGACATCATAAGATGTACCAATGAGAAGATCCAAAATCAGGGTAGAAAACCACCCTGATTGAGTAGTGGAGACTGGAGAGCTTACAACTCATGTATGACAGAATCTTATAGCCATTTCTAAACAGATCATATAGTTTATTCTATTAACAACCTCTTCAAATGCTACATACAAGTCTTGACTCTTGTTGAAGCAAAATGACAATCAGTTGCTAGGGTAAGGGCCTCATTCAGTTTTAGACTCATTTCTTGGATTGTCCATACTATTTCGAGCTTATACTGCATGAACTTGTAAGTTTGCTTGCCCAAGCATCCACTACAAGCATATTATTTCACCCAGAAGTACAGTTCAAAAATAATGAAATTTTGCTTACGGCGGAGAAATATTAACAGTCTACTCAGAAAATGAGCATCAAATAAGTACTTTCTCATGAAAACATGAAATTTAAGGCTAGTAACAACACATGAAGAAATCAATATATAAACAGGCCTTAAGAATCAATCACCTGATGTAGTCTTGATCTCTTCTGAAATATGCTATTTTCATATGATCCAACAGCTTGAATAAAATGCTCGACTTTCTTCAAGTTTAGCTGAAAAATGGACGAGGAGAATGTTGAAAAAACATAACTCCTATGTATGGTGAGCCCCCTTAATGGCACACTACTTAGTTAGGCTACATAATCACTGCACCTTGCTTGCTTTGGATAAATAACCACCAAATGATCTAAATTCATTCTTGTAGACAGACATCAGCAACTCAATAGCGCCCTGCATAAGATTAACAAGTTCAGAGCATTACTTAAGTCTTATGTGGCTGTTTCCAGCACAATAGAGAGCAAAATCTGACGCAACGACACAGATATTTCGAAGGGACAGCCAATACTTTCATAAATAAATTTGTGTCCTGAGCAGTTTTAACTCTAATTCGATGTTAATCATGGTCCAACATTTTGACTCGTTTTCTATGAAGTCAATTGGTATTCTGAAACACACATCTACCTAATCCAGGAATAATTTCATAATCCTACATCTAGGAAGTCAAGTTAATGCAATAAACGGTTTCATGAATAACACCATAGTGTACTAGACATTCACAGCAGAACATCTATTTTTCCAAATAGAAAAAGCAAACTCAAAACTGTACAAACCTCTCGTATCTCTAATGTTGGCATATGTGGTAAGAAATCGTTCCCCACAAAGAAACAGATAAAGACGAAATCATCAACAATGCGCTCCAAATCAATTTCATATGGGGGGTTAGGTATCTGCATGTCATGCTCCAGATATTCTCTAAGAGTCCATATGTTGAGAAACTGCCAACAATGAAAGAACTCAATCATTAAATTAAAGATATATATGTGCCTCTTAAATCACAAACAATCATAAAACTATTATAAAATTTAGTTGCATAACATGAACTAGAAAAAGACATTAACTATACCTGGTATGGCTTTTTACCAGCAGCACTTGCATCAGTTTTCGAATCAAATTCTTTAGCCTTCCTCTTTGCCTTGATCCTACAATTTGCCGCGCGGTGACCCACCTCACCACACCTATAGCATTTGTCTTGTCCAGCAGTGAAAACAATCTAGCCAATGCATCACGGGAAGAAGTACTTGTTAGCCAGAAGAGGGGATGAAGAAAAATGAAAGCCAATAAAACAGCACATACTATGCTTGCAACTAAAAATAATCAATAAAAACTGGATACACTGTAGTATCTTTTTACATAATTAACCTATATATTCTCATATATTATATCGAAGTAACATCTTTTAGTACCGAAAGCGCTTTTCTTTTCCTAAACTTGAATAGAGTTAACCAAGGAAAAAGAAGCACAAACCTCACGAAGAATTGCAAAATGAACCTCATGAGTGGCCAAACCGAGCATAATTAAATCAGCGTCCTGTTAACAGAAATATTAAATATAACACCTCCATCAACTAGCACAATCTAAAAATATGGTGAAACGAAGCATAAAAGAAACACCCACAAAAGGAAGGTTATATACCAAACCATAAAGACAATGGCGTGTGTTTGGGTCGTAGCCTGGAAGGTTTCTTTGAAGACGTATGTATGACATGATCTTGTGTTCCCCCTCACCAGGAACATTAGCATCAGAAAGGATAACCTTCAGAAAAGAAAAGCATGAGCAAAACATGAACAACACAGGAAACAGAAGCAACATCAAGGAGATATCAGACGAAAAGTAGTACCTTAATATTTTTCCAACCAGGTGCATAATTTAGCCTAAGGTGTATGTAGTATTTCAATGCAACTGACAAAGTAAACATGAACTCCGTTCCAGGAGTTATAACATTAGAATCAAACACTTGAGAATTCACTTTAGGAGGCAGTTTCCTCCCCTCCCTCTCAAACTCCTCACGCAACCTCTCTTCTTCGGCCGCCTAAATGGAATTGAAAAAATATCATCATGCCAAAACTTCATCCGTTAAAAAAAAAGCGATAAAAATGTCAGGATAAAAACTTCAGGAACAGATTTATGAAGCCAACTTTAGCTTATTTTGAAAATCCTAACACCAGTTTCCATAACCCAGGAAACAACTAAGTTTGTCAACAGCATTTTGGTTGCATCATCATTCAGCTAGCTCCATGCATTGAGCGTATAATGACTAGAGGAATGGGACCGGTAATGTATTACATCTATTAGGAATATAAACCTAACGAAAATCACGAGAAACAAATGCAACTGCGGCACTTCTTGACCATTCAGACAAGGATCAGTTATTATGAATACATAAGAAAGAGCCGCAACTTCACCAATTACTAGGATCGAACTACAAACAAAAGAGACATAGCACATACAGCTTCTGCAGCATCTTTCGCTGCTCTAAACCGCCTAGACCTCTGTTGATTCATTTTGGCCCGTGGAGCAACACCGTCTGAAAATTAAAAAGACCAATGCCGCTTAAATCGTACACACAAAACATTCACACGATGTACATACAGGTGTAGACAGACACTCACCAATAGCCATGTATAGAAGCTTCCGAGGACGTACCATCGCAAAGAGCCTATCTATGTAATCAAACATGCACTGAAACACCTCGGAAAACGTAGTGGGAGAGGGCTGGAGCACGAAAAAACACAAATTTCAGTGTATAACGCAAAATCGACGAATTCTACATTCCGAAGAGACCGAGTAACATCCGAACAAGATAAAACCAAGCATACAAAATCTGGTTAACGACTCGAAATCGTACCATGTCTTCGGGATGAAAGCAAGGATGGATAATTCCATTCATGTCGAGATACAAATTGTCATACTCGATGTCGTTAGGGTTAGGTTTACTCGTGTCCACTGGGAGTTTGACACCACTGATCTCGACGGGCTCTTCTTCTATCACATCCTGCACAATCAACGGATATTTCTCCGCCAACCACCGGTAGAACGATGGTACTCCCATTGGACGCGACCCAACAGCTGGGAAAACCAAACAGCAGCCGATAAAACGATGGAAAACCCTAGCTACAAAGACTCTGAAGTAAAAGGGAAGCACAAAATTCGAGCTTCTCGGGCAATGCTGGCGGCAACGGGCTGATGATGCCCTCATTCTAAACGCACAGTTTAGACGCGAGTAATTGTAATTTTATCGAAAATTAGGGGTAGTTTGGCCATTTCAAATTTATTAAGAGTTTGCCTATATTTGGAGCTTTTTAGAAATATACACCACAAAATAAAAAGATTTAGCAAATATTATTTTTAACCTTGATTAAAAGGGAAATGACGTACATGTCCTTAATGAATTGAAAGGTGTGTGTGAACTGGAGTAACTTCCGTTATATCTCAATGTGCTACATCAACACATACGTATATCCTCTTTTAAAAGAAAATCCAACTTTTAATATACCCTCTTCAATAAGTAATGACTAAAATACCCTTTTGTATTTAATTTTTTAATTAAAAAATCCCCCAAAAATTAGGGTCTAGTTGTCTATCTCCTCTCTCTTTCCGATTTCTCTCTCTGTCTCTCTCTTCCTTTCCGATTTCTCTCTCCTGCCTCTCTCTCCCTCGTCGACATTGAGCTCTCTCTCTCCTACATTTTCTCTCTCCTCTGAATCTTTTGATTTTTTCTCCAAAATCGTTAGAAATCAAAGCAAAATCAGTGCGAAGTTATCGAAGAAGTTGAAAATAGGTAAGCAATTGTGAAAATCTTATTTTTTTTCATCCACATTGATGGTTGTTGGTGTTTATATCATGAACAGTGATGCTTGTTCCACCTTTTTTCTTGTAATTGTTGATGTTTTAGAAGTTTTATCTTTTATAGTATAGTATAGTCACAGATCCGGGTCGGATCTGGGTTTGAGATGTTGTTTCTAGAGTATCACTGTACACAAATGTCGGGTCACAGTAGAGAGGAGTTAGTGACATGGCGATACGGTCACACGGTCACATGATCACAAAGTGACATAGTGACATTAGTCATAGCTCATTAGAATAACGGTTGTCATAGGTTTCAAGAATGATATAGTACTATCTTCACTTGGTCACATGGTACCATGTTTATATGGTCGCATGGTACCATGTTTACATGGTCACATGGTACCATGTCCACATGGTCACATGGTATCATGTCCACATGGTCACATGGTACCATGATTCATAATAGTAGGATTGGTAATAATGGTTACAGGGTGAGGAATTCACATGGTCACAGTGTCACATGGTCACATGGTCCAGAATAGTTAGAATGGTAATAATGGTCACATGGTCATATGGTCACATGGTATTATATTCATATGGTCACATGGTCACATAGTCCAGAATAGTTGAATTAATCTGCATTTTGTATTTGTGTTTTCTACAGCTACGATGGACGGACAAGATGAGAAATCGACAATTGTATACTTTCTGTATGATGGTCGGTGGATATTGAATAAAAATGGAGAATATGAATGGGAAGGAAAGTTCATGGAAAATCAAAGATTGGTGTTCTTTTGCCCCCCTGTGAGGTAACCTACAGTGAACTTGTTCGAGAGTTATGTGCTGAGATTAAGGTGGAGAAAGATAAAACGGAGATCAAGTTAAGTTATTTTCCAAATGTCAAGGAAAACAAAAAGCCGACTTACGTATGGAATGACAAACACGTTCATATTTATTTGTTGGATAAAATAAATGGATTGCGGGGTATGCTTTATGTGGAGATAGGAGAGTTACGTATGAAAATTGATGCTGAAGAAAACATTGAATAAGAGGCTATAATTCCTTCTAATGGTAGTGTTGTTGGAGGAAATGGGAAACGAGGTGTTGTAGACTGTGACGATTGTTTTATGTTGAGCCCAAATTTTAAGAGTAAAGTTGGGAGTAAATGGGAAACGAGGTGTTGTGCCAAAAGTTATACATCTTTTTGATAGTGAACATTCAAGTGGACTTAGAGAAGTTATAGTGAACGAGTGCGTTGGTTATCATGATGATGATGATGGTGATGATGATGATGGTGATGATGATGATGATGATGATGATGATGATGATGATGATGATGATGATGATGATGATGATGATGATTTGGAGCTACAGATTGTGGAGGACTCTTTGTTTTCTGATTATGTATTCACTTTCAGTGATGGATTAAATATAACAGTTGGTCATGTGTTTGATGATAAGGAAGCAGCACAAGAATATGTTCGAAAAGGTGCAGCTATGGCTCGTTTTAGGTATACTACAATGAGGTCTGATAAGAAGTTATGGGAAAAAAGATGCAAATTTGTCGGATCCGGTTGTAATTGGAGGTTGCGTACGGCATTGATCTTAAACTCGAAGCGTTGGAGTGTAAGAAAACACAATCTCATTCACAGTTGCAAACCCGTTTCAGAATCAAACAAAAGTATGAGAGGTACAAAAAAATTGGTTAGAGATTATTTGAAGGATGAATTCCCCGGTAAACTTGATAGCACTCCTTCTGCACATGAAATAATAGACCGTGTAAAAGCAAAGTATGGCACAACCGTAACATATTTGACGGCGTTACGAGGGAAGCACAAAGCTGAAAGTGAGATTCGAGGTGATCCTGCAGAGCATTTTAGGAAGCTTCCTGGATGGTTGTACATGTTGCAGAAGAGAAATCCTGGGACAATTGTAAATCTTGAGTTAGACATGGATGGCAGAAGCTTCAAATACCTCTTCATTGCATTGGGTGCAACGGTTAAAGGATGGAATTACATGCGTAAAGTGGTAGTTATTGATGTAACCTTTCTTACAGGCCAGTACAAGGGTACATTAGTTGTTGCAACCGCACAAGACGGTGACCACCACCAATATCCATTGGCATGGGGTATTATCGATAGAGAAAAAGATGCATCATGGAGGTGGTTTATGGAAAGATTAATAAATGCAATCCCAGATGGGCCTGGTGTCGTTGTGATATCTGATCGACATACAAGCATAATAAAGACCGTTAGAGAAGTGTACAAAGAAGCTAGCTATGGATTTTGTGCGAGACACATGGCGCAAAATCTGAAAGTTAAGGTTAACAAAAGCATGGAAAGAAGGAGTTCAAGAGTGAAACTGTCGCAGAAAGGTTTTTCAAATGCGCGGAAGCGTATACGTTGCACGAATATGAAGAGCGATTTATTGATATGAAGAATAGGTATGAACTTTCTAACCATTATAAAGAATCGACAGATCAGAAATATGTGACCATGTGGCCATGGCACATGGTACCATGTGACCATGGTATATGGTACTGTTGGGGTTCCCTTCGGGTTCCTAGCATGCGATCTCATCGATCTAGGGTTTGGTTTCTAGGTTTCATGCAGCGGAAGGAAAGATCTAAACCTAGCCAAACGTCACACAAAAACCAATTGTGCAATAACCCGAACAATCGTGTATATCGTCGTGGGATTCGAATACTTACCTCGTTCTTTCAAGATCTGGAAGTATCAATCGATCCAGGGCCTGTTTTAATCACCGAGAGTTGAAAGCACAACTCCTCTACACGTATCCACACCGGCGGGATGAATTCCAACGCTTTGGAACGTATCTGCTAGGATTCGTGAAGAGAAAACCGATGTCCTTGACTTGGAATCAATATTCCAATCACTAGAACTCAAAATCAAGCTTCTCTAAGCTCTCATCAGAATCTAGGACGTCTGAGGTTCTTACTCTAGGGTTTGTGGCGGCTCTC